CAAATTCAGCTTTAATAATGTACATAAGTATATTAAAATAACAAACATAAATTGATGAAATAGAAATGAGAACAAATAAATAAATCAAAAAAAAAAAATTTACACGTCATAGAGGTAAGTATTAAACACAAATTATTTGTAGATAATAGTGTTAAAAACGCTTTGTTCATTTTATGGTAGGTTCTTTAGTGTCTTACGGCGCTCCAATGAAGAATAATGCCATAGCCAAACGCTTGACGATCTCCGGCCACCGTAAGCACGAGTCTGCGGTCGGAGCTCGCCGCCCGACCAGAACCAGGCCCGAGCGTACGGCGCGTAGCGTTCCGCGCGCGCCTCAAAGAGCCATTAGACCACCACAGACAGGGACCTAAAGGGCTGATGTTCAGCCGGGGTTGCGGGGTAAGCGCAATGAGGCACCGCGACCTTGGCACAAAGCAGGAGAAGGAACAGGGGGGTTTTTAGTCAGTAAGAGTCTGACACTCCCTCCTGCCCGGCCCTGGGCGGGAAAAGTCATTCGATGATTTTGCCCTCACAAAAAAAAAAGCCAAACGCTTGTTACAAATTGAGATTTTGGGCTTAAGAACTTATAAATCATACTTACTCAAATAGCCTAAGATATACAGTAACATATCTAATTTTCAGTTTGTAAATCATAACCCATGTTGATGACTGTAAGAATGAAATGATATGCATTTATATAAACAAATTATGTATTAAACCACATACAACACGCCCGCCAGATCCCAAAAACGCGTGTAAATGTTTAAAATCAATGTATGTAACAGCTGACAATGCTATTAGACGTCGATTTAATAGCATTTGCCAGAGATTTGGCAAAATTTTCATGTTGGCTTTTAATATAATTGTGTTCAGTTTATCTGTTGGCAGATTATACGCAAGGATTACGGGTTGAAACCGGCGGCGCGGGCGGACCGCTCAAATTGAATTGTAATATGCTGCCGTTATTAATAACAGAGAATGGAGACACGTTAGGGCTGCCAGTTAATAGTTACACAATTTTCATTTCTGTTTTTTAAATAATGTTAGCGAAATATGCGAGCAAAAAAATATAATCTGTTATTTAAAATTTTCTACGATTTTAAACAACGAAAAGTGGTTGTGTATCTTGAAGTAAACAACAATGAAGATTTAGATAAACAAGTTGCTCTTATATAAAAAAATAATTAAACCTTATCTACACGATCAGCGGATACCAGGGGTAATCAACAAAAAACACATCTATTAACGAACTATTGTTGCCTGACTCCACTCATCGTTAACTCTACCCCGAACATTGCAAGCGACTTAGGTAACAACCCTATCGCACACAATCGGCTGTCTCCACCCGAGCGCGCCATTTTTTCCCGCAAATTTTAAGCGTCTCCCTGCGAATTCCGCGAATCAGCCGTATTTGTACAATAACTGCCCACCCGGGATCGTTTCGGGCACAATAGCCTCTTTGTTTAACGACGTCTTTCTATTGCGACATGGCGCGTGCCTAGTTTTTTCAATGGGTTCGTTCGACCCACGTGCCCGAATGTTACGTTTGTTGTGTGCGAGTGCTATTTAGGGTTGAGTTGTCGTGATATTGGCCAATAATTGCTAATGTCTAGGATTAGTGTAAAATTTACGAATGAATTAATGTTTTGTGAAATTACATTGTCATGTCAAGTGATGTTTTTTATTTAAGCATCTTTGCAAATATTAAACTTTAAAAGTAACATTGTGTTCTACCAGTATTTATCTTTTGATACTTTGTTTATAGAAAGTACGGATTAGCATCAAATGTTGCAAATCGAGCAAAGAAAAACAACATTTTAAAGAGGGAGGCTCACAAATGGATACAGCTTGGCAGGGCACTTCGGCAGCGTATAGGAAACTTGATCAGGTCTTCACGTCAAGTGTACCGCAAAGCGTGACGACAAAAGTCTTCAACGCGTCTTACCAGTAAAAACATACGGAGCCAAGACACTGACTGTTCCACTGTCGCTCAGCGAGCTGCGGAGGTGGCTATGCTCGGAATCTCGAACGAGGTGATCTGACAGAATAAAGATTAGCAAATTGATGTGACAGTGCGCAGATCACTTCACGAAGTTGCGGGATAAGCGCAAGGAGACACTGCGGCCTCAACTATAAGCAGGAGAAGGAACGGGGATTCGTGCTGAAGGTGATCACCAGAGTGATTTTAAAATCGCACTCTCCCATGTCTTCCTCCCCAAAAACCTAGGCGCCTTTTCAAGATTCCCCTGTGACAAAAATATCAATCCCTGCGCCTAAGTTTATTCGAATCCGTTCAGTTCATCTATACTTACAAACTTTCGCGTATATAAGTAGGATGAGTATCAACACCATTTGCCATTTGTCTATCAATTACGTGCGGTATTCGCGGGAAAAATCCATGTTTCTCGCTAGTGGCGTACTATTTTGTAAGTATAACGAAACACGTTCATTTGTCACAATTACCGGTGACGCGGAATAACTAGCAGCGCCGAGTGGCGAGTGGCGATAAACCTCCTCTTGTTAGCTGCGCATCTCGTGTTCCTCATACATTTTTATGAGCCTTTTATTTTTATCCACCCATGTCTTGAAGGATTTTGGTTTATAATTGAACGCGATGATGGTAACAAATTCCGTTATCGCCTACGTATTTACATTTTTTTTCATGTAAACTAATCAATCTGGTTTTTTTGAGGGCATAAAAACGTCAAATTTCTTCTCTCTGTCCGAAGGGAGTGTTAGGTTGTTAGTGACCAAAAACCACCGCGTTCCTTCTCCCTCCCTTTCAGCTCCACAACTCCAAGATGTGGAGCTGTGTTTGTGGAGATGTCGCACCCACGATACAAACGAGGGACGACGTTTACAGACAGAAATATGTAGGTAATATTTATGTAAATATAATTTCTGCGAGCGGATTCGCCCACAACTAATTTAAAAGATTTCTCCGGATCCTTAACGAATAAAAAGTTACCATGTTATTCACACTCACTAAAAAGTTTTTTTTATATGGTTTTTAGGCTGTTTCAGTTTTTGTTAAATGTGAATAGAGAAACAATAAAATAGTTCCTCTGATATGTTTAAGTCTGTAATAAAAACCACAAAAACGAACGATACGCGATGGTGTGAAAAATAAATGATGATGTGGCGCCATCTCTTATCGGGGGCAAACTACCTATAAGCCATATTGTATTATAATGAATAATTTCCCGAAAAAGTGGAACTTCTAAAATCCAAAACATCGATCCAGTTTAAAGAAAACCCACATATATATACACTGGCGAATAGTGGTCAGGCGTCTTGCCCCTATTGGACCGCTTACGACTAGACGTAAGCCGCAAGACGTAACCGCTATAGTATTTAATTTCACGAGAACTAATAGATGGCAGTGTTAAAAACATGTCATGAATCTCATATTCATTGGTTTATGATATTGGGTTCAAAACTACACGATGTAACCTATACGACGCTCTTTCACATAAATATAGACTCATTTGTACTAGCTATACGCTACGATAACAATTGGGGAATACCAACCATAGACAACGTTTCAAAGATTAAAGTTATAAACAGCAAAGCGTATAGTATTTTAGTCGATTCATTTATGCAACGCCTAACTCATTATCGTTAATTGCAGAACTTTGTTTTTGACGTGTTGATTTAAGCGTAATTATGATTCAAGTATGTAATAAAAATCTAAACATACTTACAATAAATCTGTAGAGAAGTCAATTCTGATCATTAAATATATTTTCAACTACCACGGCGTTACACCATACACACGGTTTATAACTACCATGGCGTGATAAGTGGTCGATACTGATACCAAAATGCAATCAGTACAATTTTTGTTTGTCTGTCTGTCTGTCTGTATGTTCCTTATATAAACAAAGACTACTAGACGGATTTTAATAAAATTGGTACTTACAATTATTCTTTATACTCCTGGGCAGGTTATAGAAATTCTTATAGGCTTATCATCACGCTAAAAATAATAGGAGCAGAGCAGTGAAGGGAAATGTTGGGACAATGGGAGAAGTTACTCCCTTTTGTAAGTTTCCGTCGCGTGTCTAACCTTAATGGTTAAAGTTACAAAAATTACGTATGGCGGAAATATTCTACAAAAAATTATATACAGCATATGTCTATTTTTTTTTACTAACTTACAATAGCACGTGTAACTCCTGATAGCTTAGCAGTTCGGATAATAAGCCATCGCGCCGTCGCATGTGAACACTGAATCATGCTATAAGGATTATTTTTATCAAACAGTTGCCGAACTCGACACGACGCGGTGTAAAATATAATAAAAGGTTTTATGAAGTATTTATATAACTTAGGTACCTATAAGTTACATCCGTACCATTCTATCGATGGACGGTCGGATAGCGGAAAGAAACAAAGAAAGAAACATTTATTCACATAGAACACAGGTGTTACCAGATATAATAGTGGTGTGCAGTTCAGGCTGTATTCTGCCTACGTTAGGCATGCAAATATTTTTATAAACTAATATAACGGAGACTTTAGTAAGTAACAGGGTATATACTCATTGGAGATTTACCCATAAAAACGAGACGATTAATAACAAATTTTGTGTATACTTCGATTTTGTTCTATTGCTATAGGCTGCTTTTTTACAAACACAGCACGCGGGCGAAGCCGCTGGTGGAAGCTAGTATCGAATAATTGCATTTTTTTATGTTAATTTAAAAATACAATTAAGTAAGAATAGTTTTGAATTTTATATTTAATTTATTTTATGTTTAGTGGTCTGATTCGATAAAGCTGATTTAACTGAGTATTTATAATTTTACATTCGAAGTTTAAATGGTGTTGTGTGTGGCTGTCTACTAAAAATCGAGTAACTTCATGCATTCGATTATAGTCGATTCACTCGACTCATTACAAAGTGCAACAAGTACGGGTGTACGTACGTAAACCTATATAATACAAGGTGTACTCTGTGTATTATAAGTAAGTCATTTAAGTAGTTACAGCATACCTACGAACCATTTTAGATCTTTGTTCAAGTAATCGTGTTTCAAGTATTGAACATTTATGTAAGTATTTTCTGTTTGTAGCCTTAGTGGCTACGGTATAAGTAATATACCTATTATGTTATTGTTAGTAGTTCCAGAGTAATCTGTTTGATCTATTCTGTAAGTAGTTTTCGCGTGAGAGTGTAACCAACTAAGTAAAAAAGGCAGAAAATATTAAATAATTTCATGTTTAACTTTATTTGTATCCTTATCTTGTTTTACATTATTAATTATGTATGTTAATTTTCTTATTTAAAGATATATTTATACATAAGTAAAAAGACATATTTATTTTCGATAATATTTCTAGTTTTAGTTTCAACATGTCTTGCCCAATTGGCGTACAAAATATTTTTCAAACTAACGAAACTCTTAAAACAAATCGACTATAATTATTTATGAAACAATCAAATTATAAAGTATCATTTTAAATGTCCTTAACACTAGTTATAGTATGACATTTTTTATAAGTAATTTATTTGACTCCTTTTTGAATAAATATATTCTTGTCTATAATTTTATTATAAATTGTCGGTGCGATACAAAACATAGTTTTGTGAAGAAGAGCTATTTTCGATGAATGAGATTGTACATAGTGCTTTATTTATTGCGTGTATTTCTAACACCATTATCCGATAAAAGCGGAAACCATTCAGGGTTATTTCGTAGAAATAAAGATAGACAGACAGGCAGATTATATTTTTTGCATCATTTTTGTCTGTCCGTCTGTTTGTAAGTTCCTTATAGAAACAAAAACTATTCGACTATTCTCCATTTTTTAAGCTCTCGTCGAGTGTGCAGCCGTTATCGTTAAAGTTACATAGAAATCGTGTATCACGGTTATGTTTTACATACAATTATTAAAAAAGATTTCAAAACACATACTCTTACGTTAAAAATTATTTGTGAAAGGTGTTGCCTAGATCGTACATGTATTGGGTCTATTTTGCCCATCACCGTGATCCATTTTACCTTCACGTGCAAGCAAAACGGTCCATGAGGAAGACTTTAAAAATGGTAAACTGATTACTAATAAAGATGTTCCATAAAAAGTTTCTGAAAATAAGCTATATTTTGTTGATCACGAGTTAACGACTGTTTTCCAACCATTTTACAATTTTATGCCTTCAGTCCTACATGAATATATTCGTGTGCAACATAGGAATACGTCACCGCTGATGAAATATTTATTATTACATAAATATTATTGTGGATACTACCCCCAAAAGGTGGTCACACACAGAATTTACAAGAAAATAGTTAAGTATGAGTTAAGTATTGTTTTCTCAAAATCCAAAACATATATGTAGATTGCTGAATTGTGCAGATATATTGAGCAGACATTTCTGCTAAAAGTTAGTATCTCTGGCTTTAGATTCCGTTGAAATCTAGAATTCTGCAAAATAAGCTACATTGCTGCTAAATAATGATGAAATCACATTTTTAAAATCTGATGTGACTCCTCAATCCTGACGTACATCACAGAACGACATAGATGTATCACGTTATGTTAGCAGATGTTACTGCCAGTGTCACCACTGAATTTATCACACAAACACACACACACACACACACATTTTTATTATTTTTGTTACAAATCAATGGTTTTATATTTTAATCCTGCCAAAAAACTTTTCTCCACACTTACGCTAGCGAAATGTTTGTTTTTATAATTTATGTTACCACAACTCAGGTCCTTAAGATACAGGCATAGCCTAGTTTGGGGACCACTAATACTAAAATAATGTGCCGGCACTCATAGTTACAAAAGTTTATAATGTAAGTTACTTCGATAAGGACCTAATGTACCTAATTGTAACAAGTGGACTAATACATTTATTTCTTATTATTGTATTTACGTTTGTTTCTATTCAAGGGACCACAGGGTCCCGGACTTTTGGAAGGCGTACGAGGGGCCAAAGCCAACTCACAGAGGCCCGTTGAACAACTTTAATTTAGTATGTGATGGGACACCAGCTGGCAATTGTCCCTGTATGCACTACAAAGGTGCACCCAAGGAAACAAACCCAGGTTGATGCAGGACTATTGTGCAATATATATTGGCTATGGACTGGTATATGATAACTATAAAAGATAAATACAATAATGATGTTTGATGATCTGGCGTGTATCTAAATTTTTTTTATTGCCGAAAGAATCCATTTATTACGTATGACTGATGGTAAGCAAACGGCGCCACCCATGGACACCAAAGGAGTTACGAGTGCGTTGCCGGCCTTTTGGGGATAAGGATTGCGGATATTTAAATATTGGGAAGGGATAGGGGAGAGGAAGGATTGGGCCTCCGGTAACCTTACTCACATGGCGAAACACCACGCTGTTGTTGTTTCACGCCGGTTTTCTGTGAGAGGTGGTATTACCACAGGTATTATTCCGGTCGAGCCGACCCATTTGTGTTGAAGATTCGCCCTCCCATATTTACTATAACATAGTATAGGTGAAGGAGGCTGAAACATTGTTGAGACAGTGATTTATTTGCATGTTACACTACAGGTATTGCCATTTTGTGATAAATTTATTGCAGAATAATTTATCGTGGCGACTCGTTTGTACAGAGTACGAGTCGCACAGAGTAGATGTTTGTTTTAAAACTAGCTAAGAGAAAAATATACAACGAATATTTTAAAGCATTTTATTAATTTCAAAAATAACTAGCATATAATCACGCAGTATTACTAAATTTACAATATACTATAAAGAAATACACACAAAGTAGCGAACAACGTCGTTGTTATAAAATTTCAACAACAGTTTAACAATTCAGTACTAATAGTTTACTTTGTCGTTATCCAATTTACTAATATAATACAATACCAATTTATACGTATCTCCATTAATTTCTAATATGCCTACTTACGTCTAATTTGTTTTTACATTGATATATGCATAAAGCGATGATCACTGACGTAAAAATAAAATTGTTTGTGTAACAAGTCCATGATGTACTAAAATAATAGAGGACTAGAGATAGGATTAAAGTCGATGCCACTCGAGCTGTTTGAGCTACTGACTCTAGTCCAACCATGCGGCGACCCGGCGTCACACTCACAGACAAATAATAAAAGCAAATATCACGGACACGCCAACGATTACAAACAGATCAAGTCATCTTGCATTCAGTCCAAAATAATAGTAAATCAAAAGATATTTAGTTAAACAGTTAGCTATGGCTCTATCTTCGAGATCTTGTAACGTATTTACATAATGGGATTCCCATTGGTCAGCTTCATCTATTTATAATCATTGCGAAATTTTACATGCGAGAACATTATACAAAACAATTATGATTTTGAGCTTCGAATAAAATGATTAAAATAATGTGTGTGATAAATGACGAGTTTATTACGTATTATCCACAATATAGAGCATCGTTACTTCTTGTACCAGGCGCCACGAAGCGCCAACAGTAATTTCGCGGATAGATACACTATATATTATATTTAAAGTTTTCTCCTTACTTATCCCAATGTACATTTTTACATCTATTCAAATCACGTACGGCACAGCACTGAAATTTTATTTCTATTAATGGTACCTTTTATACTACCAATTTTACAAGGACGTTACATTTTTAACATTCGACACGTACAAAAATAATGCTCTAGTACTTTCATCTATACTGTCAATGGACTAAACAATTATAAAATAATAATCAAACAATACGATACAATAATAGATTTAAAATTTATAAACTATGAGAGTTAATTCAAAAGAAAAACTAAGTATAAAACATAAATTCGCAGAATTATGAAGTTTATACTAGTAAAGAGTAATGATATAATACATAGTAACATATAAATTCCATTTTGAGCTGACCTACCGATTTTAAAATACTGTGACAAAACAGACATCAGAGTAACACCAAGTTCATGGTAAAACTGACATTCCAACAATAATAACTGTACGCTAGACGGCAGACTGACGTTCATCGCATCTTTGACTACACTAACAATCTAAGCTCCCCTTCGTTCTCAATTTTAGTATAAACCCGAATCATACCTTTGCCTTATGTCTATTTCGTATGGCAGTTTAAGTAAAGGTACGGATTCGGCGGCATTACAACGAATTAAAAGAATAGGTAGCCTCAAACAGATCCTAAAATATAGAGGTATCGTTCCAACGCAAATCGCTAAAACAAGGATCGAAACAAGAGTAGAACGGTCAGTGCGTGAGCACGGTGGAGTAGAGACAGAGGGGCAGCACGTGGCGGTAGGGCAGGCGGTAGTTCTTGACGGTGCGCGCCGCCAGGCACTTGAGCGTGGTGTACCGCAGCGGGTTGACGATGGCGGCCAGGCTCTGCGCCGACGCCTGCAGCAGCTGCTCCGCCGTGTCGCCCGCGTAGTTCACGACGTCGATGTGCGCCCCGTGCGCCAGCAACGCGCGGACCACCTCCGCCGGGCACGGGTTCAGCTGCAACGTACCGCCCGTTACCTTACTACACAACTATTCAATGCTCTTATACAAAATGTCAAAAACTTTTTATGAAACTCCAAATCGTTTCGTCATTTATATAAACGAGCAGGTTTATTATCTGACTGTAAGCAATCGGCCCCGCCCATTAACACGCGCAACAACAAAGGAATTACAAGTGCGTTCCCGGCCTTTTGGGGATATGGGTCATAGTATGTTTGCGTCAAACCTTACGTTCTCAAAAGTTAACTAACAAATATCGAAAATTTTGTGTATTGACAGATAGTATAGTCACTTGCAATATTTTATGATATTAAAAAGTCGTATTAATTGATTTCTGACATAGGAAACTACTAAATGACTCGTTAGTAGAGTGAAATCTTTTGTTACGTTCCTGATTCGATATGAAGAGTAGTAGTGCCTTTCCATACGAAATGAAAGCCAAGGCAACTGACATATATAAGTAAATCGTTGATTACATGACGCAAGATTCTTATTTGTTGCACACAATTAATTGAAGGAATACTTAACACGCGTAGTGTAAAAAAATCTAAACAGTAATGTATGATATTATGTAAAAGAGCCTTCATTGAATTCAGTGCTCTTGTGTGTTCATCATGTAAATGATCGTTGATTGTAGTAGTAGAGGGTATGGGTGCAGGCACCTTGCAGACGAGGTGCAGCGGAGTGTTGCCGTCGGCGTCGCGCGCGTCGGGCGCGGCGCCCAGCCGCAGCATGAGCGCCACCAGCCGCGCCGGCGGCGACGGCGGCGTCGGCTCCGTCGCCAGCCACGCGCGGCCCCCGCGGCCCCGCGCGCCCTCCGCCGAGCACGCCACGTGCAGCGCGGACCGCCCCTGTCGTACCTGCAACGCACCACGACTCTTTACAATCTCACGATACAATGTAAAATAAACATCTTTAGCTACTAAAACTAAATCTACATTATTCAAGATTCCAAGTGGCATTCAGTGATATTTTTAATAGGTTAAGATAAGATGAATACCCACCGTAATATCTAACTTGACGAGTGAATACACAGCCTTATGGATCTTCCTGGAAACTTCGTCGGTGCAGTCGGGCTCCTCCAGCAGCCTGGCCATGAGCGCGGCGAGATGCAGCGAGATGACGAGCACTCGCTGCAGCGTGCTGAGCGTCTGCTCGCGGTCGATGCTGAGCTTGGAGTCCAGCAGCTCGGTCCCGCGGTGGATCTCGTCGAGCGCCTTGGAGAAGACGGGCTCGATGTCGTCGAAGGCGACGGGCGGCACGATGCGGCCGCGCAGCGGGGGCCGCGCGCGCTCGGCCAGCATGTAGGAGAAGAGCTCGGCGAAGGAGTAGAGCGAGGACTGCGTGAGCGGCGACAGCGGCGGCAGCACGGCGCGCTGCATGTCCAGCGCGTGGTGCCACAGCTGGCGGCAGCGCGCGAAGCGGCCCGCGTCCGCGTACACCGCGCCGCGGTACCGCACGTAGTACGACGTGTCGGGGTGCGCCGGCCCTGCGGGGCGCGCCGCCTTTAGTCTCCACTCAACACGATATAACTACAATTATTTCAATACTGCTACGTTTCAATCAGCTCACCGAGAATCCTCTCTCTGATGACCAAAGCCTGCATCCGCATGCCGTCGGGGTCGGCGAGTATTTCCTCTAGTTGTTGCGCGTTGCTGGGCTCCACCGCAAAGTCGTAAGCTTCTATGCGTGGGATATCTTTCGGCTTAGGAATAGGTTCGCTACCGTCCGCGGGAAATCTGAAAATAGAACAATTATTTAAAAAAATACAAAATCAAATTACTTATGATATTAAAGGGATTCGACTGGACAATACTTGGAATAATTTTAATATTATGTTACCTGTCATCCATGGCTCTCTTCCACAATGCAAGCGCCCCGACCATGTCTCTTCGTTTGTCTACATAGGTCGCCCCGAGCAACTCTAGCGCATCAATCCGCTGTTGTCTCGTTACTAGTCCATGTTCAGCGTTTATAAGGTGTTCTACTATATGTGTGTGTCCTGTAACTGATGCTGCTAGGAGTGGCGTCATACCTGCGACACACCAATATGTATAATTAAATTAAGCTATATCTAATTATAATAATAAGTAAACTGGCGTATCAATAATGGATGACTGAAACAATTTTTTTAGGTTTATATTAGTTATTTAATATTAGTTACCGTACGAATCTACGTCCATAGTAGCGCCGTGACCTAACAGCATTTTGAGTATATTGAGGGAGCCGCTCTCTGCGCAGTCGTGTAGCGCTGTGTTTCCTTTCACACTCTTTCTGTTTACGTCTGCATTTAGTGATAATAGGTACTTGGCGATTCTGATGTGACCCTTGTAGCACGCTATCATTAGACACGTGTGCCCGTGACGATTTGCTATTTCTATGTCTGAAAACACAAGTATTGTCTATTTATTTTCACTCGTATGTATAGATAGTTAGACAAGTAATGTCTTTGTATTTGTGAGTTAGTATCTGAACTTACCGGCGCCATTGTCGACTAGGAACTTAACGATATCATAATGGCCGTCAAAGCAGGCTGCCCTGAGCGGTGTGCTGTGTGTTCTCGTTGTGGAGTTGACATTTGCCCCGGCGCGCACCAGCAGCTTCACCAGAGGCAGGTGGCCAGCTGCCGCGGCGCACCACAACGGAGGCGCGCCCTCTATCGTTTCTCCGTCGAATGTCACTATAACATTAAAATTACAAATGTAACTAAATATAAACATTAGGTACCGTCAAAACACGTCTTCAGAAATAATTGTAAATAGCAAAAAGTAACAAAGAGCAATCAAATTTCGAAATATTTTAGAATCATTTTAAGTAAAGCCTTCCTCATTCGATCCTCAAACAATGAATTACCTGCTTGAGTCTTGTGACTATAAGCTACGCTAACCCCAAGATGTTCGTACATGCGTTCTACTTAGATATACATTAAGTTAAGATAATACTTCGTTTCCTTTCACGGGATCACAGGATCTTTGACCTTTGGAAGGTACGTACGAGGGCCCGAAGCCAACTCGCAGAGGCCTGTTAAACAACTTCAATATAAGTGAAATGGGACATCAGCCGGAAAGTGCACCCAAAGATAATCCCCGGTTGATGCAGGACTATTGCGAAATGTGGTAATAATTATGGGTATGGGTTGCCATGGACTGGTGGATATGATAACTATGGCCTCTGTCCCTGCCCCTGACCAATATTGATACAAGATAACACCATAATACTTATTATTACTGTTTTATTTTGTCAACACATAGCTATCAAACCTGATAAGTATATGTATGTATATGCGTAAATTATTATAATACTTCGTTTTTGGTTCCTTCGTGTAGAAATTGGACATTCATTGTCGCTAAAGTTCTCAATTGTAGTAAAATGGCTACTAGCCAAAGTATTGACGCAATTGGAAAGCAATTACGACAACCCACCCCGTGAAGACACTAGTTGGAATAACTAAACTACACTGAAATTTACAAGAGCCAGTGATTAACTGGGTTCTGATTGACCGACGCGTTATGCCGACAGAGAATGTCAAATTGTCGGCGAAAGATGATCGACGACAGTCTTGGCCGACTCAACTGATGCCAAAACCGACACAATGGAACAGTGACATTGAAGAACAATTTCTGAATGTAATCAATTCAATACCTTAATGTAATCAACTTAAAGCGTGAAAAGGAGTTTATTTGTGGAGATTACGTACTAAAAAATTATAAATAACCTGGATATAGCAAAAAAACCTAATAACATCTCATATTCACAAATTCACGTGGCACATTATTTTATTTATATCAGGTACGTAGGTATTTAGTAAGCGTTAATGCAAACTGCCGATTCACATGCTCGGTGCAGGTTGAATGACCTCATGTCAAAATGACTGGATACAAAACTATAACCGAGTGACTTGGCCAATCTTATGTTCAAAATAAGTAAAAAAAAAATGAAATGTCTAAATGTGTTGCTGAAAACGTGTAAAACTATAACCCGACTAAATGAGATCAGGGTCTGTTTACGATGTGAATAAAAATTTGGAAACGCACCGCTGATACACGAATTATTTCTTGCATTTAAAAAAGTATTTGTTACCTGAACCGGGTTGTTCGATGTCTGCTTTACATCTCTCGATTAGATATTCGGCGACGTCGTAATGACCGTTTCTGCAAGCGATGACTAGTGGCGTCGCTCCACCGACCTTCGCACCCACCAACATGTTCAGCTCGTCTGCAGAGCGCCAACTGTGTAGGTACGCCTGGAATGAACAGATACAACTCATTAGATTCACGATAATATTTACTGTAAGGACAATATAATAGGCATTTGCGAATTTAATTCGATGTGTAAATATGAAGTAATTAGGTTCGAGTCCGATTCTCGGAATGTGCTCTAAGTTTTTTTTTAAACGTTTGGATTTTCTCCTGTGTCGTGGGTGCGTACAAACATACGATTTCACATACACACGACACCCAACAACAAGTTGTTCCGTGCGGGAATCGAACCCGCGACACGTTGCTCGGCAGCCGTTGCAGCCCAGCCACCGCACCAACCGTGCAGTCCAGTAAGTTTAATAACCTTAACCTGCATGAGACATGTAATGTACACCAGCACAACTGAAATTGTGCCCAATGGATGCCTACCAGCTCGTCCCCTATTTTATAGTTGTATAATATCAAAAATTAACCTATCATCTGTCTGAGATCCGTATTAAAATGCGTCAGATCTGTATTAAAAAACAAAAATGAATATTCCACAAACAGAACGTTTGACGCATATCAATGTCATAGTGCTTCTAAGTAACAGGTATTCTAGAATGTCGTAAACATCCTTAAAATTAATAATAACAACATCGTTAGCCGGTCTCCGAATGTCAGGTTAAGATTCGCAAAAGTGAAATCCCCCAGATATAATAACAACGAAGTTTGGCAAGCGCGCCCGCGCCGATTCATGGCGCAACACCGCTTACGACATACAGGTAGGTATAGGTAGGTAGGTACCTATAAGTAATGTATTGGTAAATACACCTGCACGTTATAGGTACATTCTTTCTTTACTGATGAAAACAGGATACGAAAATATTACTGGTAACGCTGGCAAATTATGTCCGCGGATCACATTTTCTATACTAATACATATTATAAAGAGGTAAAATTTGTAAGTTGTATGTAGGGGGTAATCTTTGGAACCACGGGTCGGATTACCAAAACTCTTTCATTTAGAGATAGCTACAATGTTCCTGTGTGCTATAAGGCTTTAAAACATCACACTACGGTTAAATGGAGCCGTGCAGCGAGTGAAACCGCGCTTGAGTAGCTATTTTTCATAAGATTAAGGGCTGCTTTTTCAATAGTCAGATAAATTTCATGTAAGGAATAGAATTGTTGCTGTCATTGTCTTACACAAACATTGATGACGCGACAGCGTGATAATTATTCCCCAGCCATTGAAAGATCAGCTTTTATGAGAATAAAAATGTTACATTTATTAAAGTTAGTTTAAGTGATTTAATTCATGTTTTAATTGTCCTGATAAACGCAATTGTTGTACACCGTCACCGTATTAAAAAATAATTATTTAGATCAACCTTCCTAATATTAGATATTAAGTTTGTGAGTTGGAATGTTGAATGGATGTTTGTTAGATACTCTTTCACGTAAAAACAAACGAACAGATCTGATTTAAATGTGATACAGAATTACATCATGTGTGGAAAAACTCATAGGTTACTTTGTAACCTTAGAAATTTAATTGATAAACCGTAGTGTGTGGTATATTCTACGATCATTACGACAACATAATGATAATATGACCTTTCAGCACAAAATCTCCTTGAAACGAAACCCTATACCTATTTGAATGCCACCCAAGAGCTCCTAAAGGATTTAAGAGCTCAGGTTGAAATTTATTACGATCATAACCTTGGAGTTCCGACCTTCAAGTAAGAAGCCAAATAAAAAAGGTTTAGCTTAAATGTAGGAGACGGGTCACCGCTTAAACCGGTGCTAATATGTCAGCGATACCTATAAATATAATACGTACCTAACGTATACATACCAATCGAAACAACAGTGAAACTTTAGTAGCAGGTCAATATTATCGTTTTGGTTATAAAAATCTAAGCAAAAAATTTCGTCCACAGTAATAATTATGGTCAAAAGAAGCGTGTAAAGTTCATTGCTTCGAGGAGAAATAATACAAACAAGATAGTAGGTCAAAACATTTGTTTGGACAAATACCTATTATGCACCGGCTGCAATCTTGCTACTGCGCAGTTTATTTCGATATAAATTTACCATTCTTGCCATTCATGTTAAGTAGAATTTTGGTTTTGTTTACTTAAAAGAGAGAACCGTTGGAGAATCGCGATTTCCTAAAAAATATGACCATGTATACCTCAAGTCACAAATGCCAATGGCATAGAGTAAAGTTGTTTTGTTTACTTAATACATTATTTACAGATAGCATTTTTTATTTAAAATTACATTCTTTACATATAATTTATTAGCTATATAGTTGCTTTTAATAATAAGATATGATATGAGTATACATGCATGCAAACCATAAGGTGTTGGATCATGCTGTACAATACAATACCGCCGACGTACCTGGCGAGTCTGAAGTTAGCCGATTAGCTGCGCAGTACACAATTATGTTCCTAAAAATCCATTGCGCAGACAAACGGCTAACTTCAGACTCGCCAAGATACAGCGGCCGTATTGTATTTAAATTATGATCTTATTTTTGAAATGATCAAACTGATTTAACTGTTGCGTTTATTATAAGCTTTTAGGACACCGCTATGTAACGTAATCGACAATTTCTAACTGATTTCGGTGGTAAAGAAATTGTTTATCAGACCATGAAGTTGTAATAAGAATGTCTATTTTGTAAAAAAAAAACACATTTAATAAACAGATTATAAATATGGTTATATATTATGTAGTAAGGTTCAAAATAAAATATATAGTATTTATACTCACGTGTTTTAGGTACAATCACAAGACAATAGACTATTTAAACTATTTTATATACAAATATACTTGATACCATAACAAATTCCGGAGATGTTAATCTGTGTTGTGATCAGGCACAATACTGACTCATCAATACAAAGCCGAAGCTAATTAAATAGTGCAAAGACAATGAACAAATGAAAATAAGTTATTTCACAATTTCGTATTGTACCAATGTCCGTGACTTGCGCGGACAGATCAACAATAAGCAACATTCATGCTGGGTTCTTCGTTTTAATGTTGCAATATCACCTTTATTAACACTGATTTAATTTATTTATGATGCTAAGTACACGACAAATAAATCGTATAATTCAATAATACGATAACAATGTTCAGAAATGAAAACCGACAAAACAATGAAAATGTCAATGATTTTTTGTAATTTACTTTTAAAATACTTGATATCGTTATTTATGAAATGAATATTTGGAATAAAAAAAAATTATAATGATACTTTAATCAGTAAGACAATATATTACGAAGTAACAATCTGCATTAATAAAACAAGCTGGAACATTTAATGTCCAGATTAAAGAAAACTGTAGTAACCGGCATAAGAATGTGGCGCCTCGCTAAACTTGACAGAGTTTAGAGAGCCGCCATATATATGTATATATATTTGATTGGAAGAATATCTTAAAACTACTTCTCTCGCCCTGGTTGCAGAGAGAGAGTGTAAGTAAGACTCTTACTGTCATAAAAACCCCGAGACTTCTCCTGATCCAGGCTGGAGCCGCGGTACATTGATGCGATCGACCCGCAACCCTGGCTGAAATTAGTACTTAAAGGCCAAAATTTATCAACGTTGCATCATTGCTTGGCTTTATTATTCCCCAATAGGTGTTTCATTTAAGACAATTATATTTAATGGCATTGTGAGAAAACCTCATGCATAACTCATGTTATCAGATTTGTAACTAATTTTCTTAGTATAGGTAGGTCCATCATTATTTTACAACATTTAAATATGCTTGCTATGCTTGTACATTCAATCAATCAAATCATTTATTCCAACTAAAACATAAATAGGTACTTTTGAAACGTCAAAATAGAATAGTAGTCTGTCAGTCTGTTCGTCAGTGAAGCTAGAAGAATTAACAAGGATAACAGAAGAGGACGCAAATAATGTTTATAAAATGTAATTTATTACTATCAGTACTTAAATGGTATTGATAAATACTTGTGACAGCGGTATCTCAATGTCCTCGAAGCACGCAAATCCTATTGATGTTATCTGATTACACAAACCTTCTTTAACCTCCTTAGCAGCCGCCTCTGCCGGCGGAGCAGCGTTTTGCCGCAGTGCCGCAGCGTCTCGATCCACCGGCTCCTTGACGGCATCAGGTCCCACACACCAGTAGACATTTTTATCAAGACATCACAGATATATTCAATAATTCACTATTCCTCTATCACTAACGACACACTTTAATCACAACATTGTCTTCTTAAATATTTGAACTGTAAATATGTATAAGTTGTTAATAGTTCAAGATGGAATATTTACTTTGTTTTTAGATTTTACTTCAAGGTCGCCACACAGTAACACACAGTTTGATGTATACAAAAAAGATTTTGTAAAATACGATATAGTGTGATTAAAAAAAATATCGTGTCTACTTCTCAACTTCTCATCCATAAATGGCACCGGCCGCTATTTACAGGCTGTATTTATAAGGTAAGCTAACCGCAGAAATACGGTGATATTCTTATTAATAACAGATTCATTATATGCGGGGTTTCTCCAGGGATACACACGTATTGCTTGACCGTGACGCTATAAGCGTTTATGGGCAATTAGATGCATTCTCTACATAATACTGACCGTATAGTAATTATTGGTATTTTTTTATTATTAATACTTTCTTTGTATTTTTTATTTGCAACTACACTTTTACTTTACTTTATAACTTTTCGTAGTAACTGTATGATTTATGTTTGTACGTCAAGAAAAATATGACACATTTCTGTGACTTACACCCGGTTTCTGAAAGGCTTGTCAACGCTAAAATTAACTAATCTCCTGTTAAATCTCAAGTCATCTGATTGGTTGTTGATAATTCAGTCAACCAATCAGATGACTTGACAAGAGATTAAATTGATTTTAACATTGATCGGCCTTCCGGAAACCGGGAGTTAGGTTTCGAAACACATTGAAAACTCAAAAGATAACTATTTTATGTAATTACAATTTATCATCACTATGTTTTAACCATATAAATAATCTGTACGGTACGTG